TAGGACCAAAAGATCTTGATGATGGCTCTTATTGTCTTGTGCTGGTTGGGTTAAAGATGTTAGGTATTTTGTTGATTTTTTGTCTGTTTGGTTTCTCTTGCTGTTCTTTTTATGCATTATATTATTGCTGTATGTCAACGCACCTTGTTACCTTGTATTTAAAGGTACTATAAATTAAATACATTTTAAACTCTAACAAATTAGTCTTAAAAGTAATTTTTGAATCAGGACTGAAAGAAACCTATGATTCCCCTCATTAAAAAATTAAAAAGTACTTCCTAGGAACACAGCCAAACATTTATTTGATTAATTGAGAAAATTATCAACAAGTTATCAATAAATAACATTATTTTAAGTTTCAACCCAATTCATAACTATATGTAGAAGAGATGCTACTTTTCAGCAATTCAGAACAAACTTAAGAAAACATGACCACTGATTTTTATTTAAGAAACCAAAAAAACTGTAAGTAAAATACAATTAAAAAAGACTATACATTTTATAATTTAAAGATACCATTGAGCCATTCAAAAAAAGATAAAACCAGCTGGAGCTTTCACACGTGTCCCATTTCAGCCCCCTTCAGCAACAGGTGACCTTTGGCGTCATGAACAAATACTTAACATACTGTGCTCCATGTCCAAAAACACAGATCCTGAAAAAGCCCTGGGGAACAACTTTCACTGAATAAATATCTGGCCCCATCTTGAAGCACATTGTTCAGTTTTCTTAAGATGTCCGAGATCCATCAATCCGTTTGTTTTGATGATTCTGTAGTTCACAGTACCAGAAGAAGAGGAGACAAGTAGCATATTAGGAATAATAAGAATAACCTTTGTAATTTCCAGAATCAATTTTCACATTTCACAGTCGTATTTTTTTGCTCACCCTTTTGTAATCGCATGTTTTTCATACTAATAATGTGTTCCAGGCGCATGGAGCCTCGATAGATCCACTCCTTGTGTTGATCTTTCTAAGAATGATGATGCACAAAGTAATTTGAGTCATACAATCTTAATCAATATGACAAGGAAAAAACATCACAAATCCTGTACATAAAAAGTTGGGGGAAAAAAAAACGTGTGTGGGTACCAACCTGAAAAAGAACCCTTATTAAACTGTTGTCAATCTGCACCACCTCACACTTCTGCAGGAATCCTTCAAATTCTGCATTAAGCGTCTGTCCAACTCTGTATGATGTCTGAACTGGGAAGGGCAAAGATGCCATATATTCCTTAATGAAATCCTTGTGGACACCATCTGGAATATCATCCAAGGGGTCTTTCACTGACACAGAAAAAAACAAACAGTTTAAATCTACAGTCTTGACCTTTGCTTGCGCGCTAATTACATACCAAGTCAGCATTTTTGCAGCACATACATCTTACTTAAAGAGCAGAAAAACCTTGTGTCTGTAAATTTGTACACAAAAAGTCTGGGTGTGAAATACAAGAATCAAACCTACTTTGTCCGAACACCTGTCGAAACTTAGGCAAGCCAACATAATGGGGCGTGCGATCATCAGCAAAAACAAGGAACCTGGAAAATGAAAGCACACACAGCCACATTAGGCCAAAGTACTTTATCTGATGTTATCTTGAAAAGTTATCCATGAAACACACACAAACCTCATTCTGTTTTTCCTGTTGGGGAGCTCAGCCAGGATACCAGGTATGAAGCGGGAAGGATTATCTCCACACTTAAGCACAACACGATCACCAACTTTCAGCTCATCTACATTTGGAGTGCTGGTTAAGGCGATGTGGTGACCGGAGACAATTTTCCTCCCCTTCTCAAAACCGACCTTGTATCTGAGTTTATCATCTGCAGAATAAAAAGAACAACGATTAAAACAAAAACACTTCAACAAATGTCATCTCTGCATCCAGAAATGGTGGTGACTACATTACATGAGTTAAATCTTTCTCCCTAGTTTCGCAGCCATATGCTGAAGTGTCCTTGGGCAAGACACTTAAACCCAATCTGTTCCAGCTGCTGAGTCAGCAGCATGTCCTCAATCCTCTGCCATTATTGTATGAATAGGTAGGTGTGACTCTTGCTGTGTTAAAAAAAGTGCAATACACGCGCCACACACACACACACACACACACACTTTGGTAAGTTCAGCAGACCCATATGATCTGAGGGATCTGATTGGGCTGTTTTTGTCACATATCCACTTCTTACTATTTGACAAACATATGCATAATAAGTCACCCTTTACAGATTTGTAAACAATATGTTGCATTATACAGAAATGTACCTGTTTGTATTAATTCCAGGATTTTCCCCTCCAGCCATCTGGTGGGTTTCTTTCTAGCCAGGACATTCATGTTGACACAGAGTTTTCCTTGTAGAATGCTTACAGGAGTATTTGTGGCAACAACTGATGATTGGCATAAAGATTTTTTGCTTGAGGGGGTCACAACTGTGTGTAGAGAAGAAACAGAATGTCAATGCCAAAACTTGGAGTCAACTCAGGTCTTGTCATGTACATTACAATATCTATATTATGATTCTCTTACAATGTATTTCAAAAGTTTCTCTAAATGAGTTGTCTCAAATGAGTTTTAAACATCAACCCAGGCACCATAAACTGTCATGGCGTGTCATGTTCAAGTGTTATTTTTCAAAGAAGATGGTATTGTTCCCAACTCAGTTTACGAAACATGAAAAAGAAAACGGTTTGCTCATTAAAGTTTCCATAAACCTTTCTAAGGTAAGTGCCAAAAAAAAGAGGTGTATTATTTAAAAGTCTGGTACACAGCAGCCAAAACTCTAAGAGAGCACATTAAACTAACCAAAGCTGATGCTACTATCGCTATTTGACAGCAGCCAAAATACAATGGTAAGACAGCAAAAATGCAGTAAGAATGTTTCGATAAAAAGTTTCCAGCTGTCTCTCAAAATCAGCAGAGAAATAAACCACATGCAAAATCTTAAGAGTTTCTACTTTTTCACCTTACTTTTTGTGTTTGCTGCCGGTGTCGATGTTACTGCTGTGTCCTCCTTAGTGTTGCTCTTTGCCTCAGCTTTGACTGCTGATGATTTCTCCACATCGTCCTTCTTAGTGTTGCTCTTTGCATCAGTTTTGGTTGCTGATGATTTCTTTATGTTGTCCTTAGCATTGCTAATAGAACTGGCTTTGGGTGCCGATGTTACTTTGCTTTTAGCATTCGTAGATGTACTTTCTTGGGGTTTTGCAGGATGTGTTTCTTTTCGTTCAATCTTTCTCCTCTTCTTTGATCCACTGTTAAAACTTGAGATTGAACAATCAGAATCACTCGAGTCCTTTTCTGGTTCCCAATGTGTATCAGAATCAGCATCACTGAAGGATTCAACATCAGAGGAAGGACCCTGAGGAGGAGGCCGAAGTAAAGGCTTGATCTGGGTATAAGGAAGTTTTTTCAAGACCACCACTGGTTTTCTCTTCAGCTTTACAAAGCCCCTGATGCTACTGTTCTCCCTGTCCACAAGGTTTAGTAACAAAGGTTTAGCAGCTGGAGAGCTCAGGCCTTGGACTGGAGAGGTATTTCCTACAAAGGAAATAAAAGCACAGTTCAAAACGATGGTAGTACACAATAAAGCCAGCTTGATTCAATAATATACATCTCACCTGGGCCTTCAGTTTCATCATCTTTATCACCTTGGTTGTCATCTTCAGAATCTATGTCTCTGTATTCCCATCCCAGCAAAGAGTATTGTTTCTTCACAATTGCTTCACATACTGCCACAGACCTGAATAAGTTTAACAACAAAGACAGATGGTTTTTTGTTTGGTTATTTAACAGGGACACACGCAAGGAAGAGTGCTTCATATGTCACATTCAAATTAGAAGTCAGAAATGACCAGAGAAAATCATTGAAGTATATATCATGTATTGCCATTTAGATAATATCAAGATAAGATTTTTGGTCCATACCACCTACATTGGAAACTGGTTATCTACAGCTGTAACCAAAAAGAACAAATAGGTTTATAGGCTAACAGGCTTTTAAAAGAGGCAAAGCCGGGGCGTAGACATAACACTCACTTGCAGAGCTTCAGGAGTTGAGTTGCCTGATCTTCTCTTTTATTCAGCAGAGACAGAAGTAAGTTGTATTTCTCTAGGACACCTGTAGAGAGCAGCTGCTTCTTCACCCTTGCACTGATCCACTTCTGGAGCTCCTCTTTGCACATCTCCATCTCATCCCCCTCCAGTCCATAGTCACTACAAGATTTCAAAATACCATTTTGTTTTTTGAGCTTGAGAGGTACTTGTTTGTAGATTTTCATTTATCCAAGTCTCTAGGGAGCTGGATACTATTGGGAGACAAACAGCGGATCCCTGTAGCCCCAACTTTAACAGACATACGGCAAATAAGTGGAATCAAACTTAAAAACAGTGTTCTCATTTTCGAGGTCTATACATTTCACATCCTATATCATTATTTAGTTGTTTGCTCCCAAACTCATTAAAACCTCAGGTAGTTAAAAGCTATGGCACCCTTTTACCCACACGGGCTAAAAACAATAACATCTAAAGAGATACATATTTAAAACACCACCGAGTCTTTACCTTGGCTAAACTGGTAACATTAAATTAATCTATAGTAACCTTGAGCCAAAGATGTATCTACAGTAAGCGTCCATGCATCTCCTATTTCAGGGACAGGCACGGATAGAAAAAGTAGCTTTCACTGTGATTTAACAGCGAAAGGGATGATATACGGTAATTATTAAAGTTTTGTAGGTTATTCTTCACATAGCAAGTATTGTATCTGGCAGAAGTGACTGATTTAGTTGAAACATACCTCAAATAAGGCATCAATATTGATTTTATTTGGCTTGTCGACTTGAGTTCAGGAAGTTCTTCTTCTTCGCGTCCTACTGCTGCGGACAACCGTCTCTCACTGCTGCCCCCTGTGTCCGTATAGACCAGGTACACACAAACATCTCTCCAATTTTTTTTAAATTAAAAATTTAATTAAATTAAAAGCAAATTAAATTCCCACTCAAATTAAAAATATATATATTTATGATGCGAAACAATATAAAAAATATTAAAGCTTTCTGTATACTAAAGGGTACTTGCTTACACAAATGCAGTCAAAATGAATCATTACAGATAAATAATCAGTCTTATCAATTATGGTTTTGATAGCTTTTGTCACATGCATCAGTATACATTTAAGCCTGTTTCATATCAAGTTAAAGTTCACACAGGAGCTTTAAAATGAGGCCTTTGTAAAACGAAAAACTTCCCCCCCCCTTGTATTTTTTACAATATAACAACAAACAGAATCCTTTTCAAAGCTTTTAAAGAGATACAGCACACTAACAAATATATATCAATAACTAAACCATCAGAGCATTTTTATTATGTGGAGTTTATTCTCATCTCAAAGCACATTTATAGAAGAATCTGCATTTTGTGGTTTGAAAAATGCTCCACATTCTGACTTAGGCCTGCCACTAAATGTGCCTAGCATTAATATCAAGAGTTGGGGCAAACATAACGAAAATAGATGAGATGTTGCACTCTAGTGGTCTCGCCTGGAACATTTTCAGAACCAGACATTTCTTTCCCGGCATTCTGATCAATTTAGTCTTTTTCCTGTTTCTGCAATATTTCAGCCTTGCAGATTTTCTAAAGCTATAGTTTTATACAAGTAGTAATATTAAGTTTTGTACGGTATTAAAAGAGTTAGTTTAGTTTGGTCATGCACTTAAAAGATGACAAACATTTAAGTGTGTTTTTATGACACAATGTCATGAAGTGGAGAAGTGACCTTTACTTTCATGTCCTGGAATCTTTATTTCTCTTAGAATAGGGGTCTGGGACAACGTCTTCATGGCAGACAGAGTACCTTCAACCATAATAACCAACATGTACCTGCCTGAACTGTGTGTGCGTCTCTGTGTGTTTGTGTTTGTGTGTGTGAGAGAGAGAGAGAGAGAAACAGAGAGCTGCTTTGAGTAGCATGCACAGAAATAAATGACACCATCCTGGTTATACTGTTAAATAATGGAAGATTTTACCCAAACAACACATCTCCCTTTCAAGTTAACAGTTTCACCTGTGATTCCGTTATCACAGCTGTTCAGAGAGTTCAGAGTAACATGGCAGCATTGAGCTGCACAAACAATATAAACAGCATCAAAGCAATGAATTGAATTTAAGAAGAGATTTTCCAACAGCTCTCTCTCTCTGTCTCTCTCTGATCACCTGCAGTATAGTATATAGATGCCTCTAACAAACATGGGCTTGAGCGGAGTGCGTGTGCAGTTTGTCTTTCTTAGATGCTGATTCTATGCAGATTAAAAAAGTAAAAATGGTGGAAAAAGTATCTACAAGGCTGCCAGAAATACACCTGGGCGACACTTTCAGAGACAGCTTATGGTTGTAAAACACCGTCATGGACAAATTAAGTCTGGTCAGAAAAATGATAATTCCATATAAATCCAGAAGAATCACATCCCTAAAGAATATTCTGAAAAAATGTCAGTGGGCTTTCAGTCAGAACTATCCCTTTGCTGCTCCTCCTCCGATTCTCTTACACTAAATATTCGTCTCATGTGTTCAAGTCGCGTGGAGCCTCGATGGATCCACTCCTTTTCTTGGTTTTCCTGCAAGGGGACAAAAATAGATACATGTACATCAAAATCTTTAAAAATATTAGAGGACATTTATGTGCGTAGTTTCTTTTATAAAACAAAAACAAAAAACAGCACCAATTTATACTGACCTTAAAAACAACCTGCATTAAGCTCGAGTCGATCTCCTGCACCTCACACCTCTGCTCGACTCCATTCAAGTCAACACTAATGCTCTGTCCAGCCTTGTACACGGTTAAATGTGGACGCGGCCAGTCCTTCAAGTACCGAGTCATAAAGGTCTTGTGTGGGCCGTCTCTAAGGTCATCTAAAGGGTCTTCCACTGCACAATCAAAAACAAAGGGAAGAATATTAACACATTGTTTCTTTCAGGGGTCAGCCATGCTTGAATTAAACACACTTGTTGTACCATCACGTTAGATGTTTGCCTTCAATAGTAATGTGTGTTTGCACTATACATTGTACACATTGAGCAAATGTTGCCCAAATGTGGGAAAAGCTCATTTGCTTGTGGCTGTAAAATAACTCAAGAATGATCCTGGAAAACGGAAATGACACATAAAATTTTAAAAAGCACATTTTCCATTTGTAGAGTATAAGTGAGACAAACATCTGTCTTCTTAGAAAAAAGTACTGAGGTATGATGTAACTGTTAAAACAGTATAACATCAAGTATGTAGTTTAAAATATACAGAATGAGTCTGTTTTATGGCAAGCCGTTTAGGAAATTAATATATTGAATGAAACTTTGAATATATTGAACGAAGTCTGAATATATTGAATGAAACTTTGAATATATTGAATGAAGTCTGAATATATTGAATGAAACTTTGAATATATTGAATGGAACGTTGAATATATTGAATGAAAATTTGAATATATTGAATGAAACTTTGAATATATTGAATGGAACGTTGAATATATTGAATGAAAATTTGAATATATTGAATGAAACTTTGAATATATTGAATGGAACGTTGAATATATTGAATGAAACTTTGAATATGGAATAGAACTTTGAATATATGGACTGTTCCAATAATTGAACTATGATCTTCAAGGTGAAGCTTTCTTTCTTTTTTTCAGCAACATTTCAAAAAAGTTTTGACGTTCAAGAAAGTATTGGTATATTTCAGCTGATGTCATTTTGCAAAACAGCATATTCAGCAGGGTGTCTTTTGGATGACAACAATGAAACTGGTGGATTTGGAGAATTTAAATCAGCTTCAATTCCATATATTCAGACGTCATTCAATATATTAAAACTTCATTCAATATATTCAGACGTCATTCAATATATTAAAACTTCATTCAATATATTCAGACGTCATTCAATATATTAAAACTTCATTCAATATATTCAGACTTCATTCAATATATTCAAAGTTTCTTTTAATATATTCAAAGTTTCATTTCATATATTCAAAGTTTCATTCAATATATTCAGACTTCATTCAATATATTCAAAGTTTCATTCAATATATTCAAAGTTTCATTCAATATATTCAAAGTTTCATTCAATATATTCAGACTTCGTTCAGTATATTCAAAGTTTCATTCAATATATTCAAAGTTTCATTCAATATATTCAGACTTCGTTCAATATATTAATTTCCTGAACGGCTTGCCATACTGTTTTGCCTGTTTGATATCTGCTAGTGGGAACAGCTACAGGGACCTTTACAGTAATATCTTAAACAGGAGTTTCTACTTTCACAAGGTGTTTATGCTTTATGTTGTTTCCATTCACTGTTTTTTTTATGATATTTAGGTTCTTTTTTAATGTAATGCACAAAACTAAAGTCATCGAGACAACAACAAATAGGGAGGATATGTTAAGCTCCCATTGACAGCCAGAGAGCAGATGAAAATGCTGAACTGTTCTTTATGTGTAACATTAACGCCCACAAAAGACACATGACAGCCAAACTCACGTGGTCTGCATACGAGGTGAAGTAAAGGTAAACCAACATAGATGGGCACGTGATCATCAGTGAAGACCAAGAACCTGGAAAGTTCAAATATGCTTTCATTCAAACACAACCTTGTGTGATGTTAAAGACAAAAAGGAGGCCTCTTGGAAGACGTTTTACACAAAAGGGGGAGGAACCCGTGAACTCCGAGCAAGAGAAATGTAAAAGTGAGGAAGAAGATACTTAACCCTCTTGCATCATTATGGACATGTTTGTCCATTTGGTCAAATGTTTCCTCTTCATCTGGCCATCATTTTTTCTGTGTTAGTGCATATGGCACCATTTTTTGTAAGAAAGTCTCTCTCTTGACACATTTTGGAATGCACCTTTTTTTTTTAATAGATCAATAGAACTCTGTGAAACATTTTTGCGACCCTCTTAAGTCAGTTTGTAAGGACAAAAATGTCCACTTACAAAAAACTGCTATAAAAATAGAACAGATTGATTTTTTTTTCTGCATACATCTCTTAAACAACTTCAGCCCTGCTCAAAACTATCAAACATTTTTAGGAATTTAACCCTTTAAATGCCAGTTTGATTACTTGATGTCACTGTTGTTATTTATGAAAAAAACACAAAAACAAGTTATTTTCCATATAACAAATATTTGGTGGCTGGGGGATTTTTTTTAAATCAATCTTGGATATGTCAAGATTATCCAAAATATTGACTTTGATGCATTGTTAGTTTTTGTGTAGCATCAGATTTAAAATGTAGTTCCCTGTTTGGACAGTGGAGGGCAAAAATGTCCAATTTACATAAACTGCTATCAAAATAGAACAGATTGATATTTTTTTCTACTTTTTTTTTAAATTGCTGATAATTATTCAATATTTGATAGCTTTGAGCAGGGCTTGAGTTGTTTAAGAGATGTATGCAGAAATAAGTAGAAAACAACATCAATCTGTTCTATTTTCATAGCAGTTTTTTGGCATGGGCATTTTTGTCCCTAGTGACTTAAGAGGGTAGTAAATTAAACTGATGCCTGAGGGTTAATGGGTTTTTATTATAATGGCTAAATCATTTAAAAAGCTAACATGTGTCGACCACAGCGATCTTAATCAGGGCTGACAACTTACTTAAAAAACATGATTGAATGATGTGTAGAGATTAATGCTGCTACAAACACACACCTTAAACGGTTCCTTCTGCTGGGCAGCTCCACCATGATACCAGTCTGAAAGTGGGACGCGTTGTCTTGACAATTGACCACCACACGAGCACCGACATAAAGCTGCTCCCGCTTCGGTATGGCGTCAAAGGCGATGTGATGGCCAGATACGAGGCTCTTCCCCTTTTCTTCAAATTGTACTTTGTACTTTACGTGTCCATCTTCTGAAAATAAAACATCTTTCATAAATGATATTGGGAAAAAAAAAATCACCCATAAATTATTTGATTTGCTTGATTGTTGATGGAAATCAGTCAGAAAGTAACAAACAGTGTTCCCTTCTTATTGTTTCCGCAAAAACTTTGGAGGTTAGCGCCCGACCGATTAATCAGCCAGCCAATAATATCGGCCTATATTAGGATGTCCAGTGACTATCGTTATTGGCTAACTTTATCGCAGATATGTGCTGATAATAGTAGATTTATTCACCAGTCAAATAGCATGTAATTTAAGTTTAATTGTATTACACTAGCAGTTCTCTTACACCAGCAGAGGGCGCTATTTGGATTACAACGACCATCATCACTCTCCAGAAGGTCAATCAGTGATGCCCGTACATGTGCAATTACTTTCCAGGTGAGTGACCATCTTGTCTTCATTAAATATCTTTTCCCAAGTGTTCGATAACTGCATTTGAGGGATCAACACAATAAATGTGTATATCTTATATCTACAGAACCACATAGATCTAAGAAAGATGCCTGTTACTGATTTCCTCCCAAAAATATGACATTTCTTACCCTTTGTTATTATCTCCACTATTTTTCCCCGCTGCCATCGCATGTGTCTCTTCCTGGCCAGGACCATCATGTCCACAGTGATCTCATCGTCTGGCAGGTCGGGTCGGACGTTTCTGGTTTCATCGGGGGAAATGCCAAAAGCTGTTGATATGATTATAGGGGATGGTTGTGGTACTGTGGAAAAACACAACATGGTTGAGTTAGAACAAAGGAGCAAGAGGGAGTGTTAAATATGAATGCCTGGTCACACAATTTACAGGGAAGTGCTGTAAATATGTTGAGTAGGAAAATAAATCTTCTCACTATAATAAAGAAAATTTTCAAACGCAACCACTGCAATAAGCATGATAACTTACATTTTTATTTTTTTTAAAGTTAATGAATGTAGTATGTCTTTCCTCATTTCTTCTTGTTGTGTGTTGTTGTGTGTGATGTTACCAGATGCAGATGCTCCACTTGTTGAACTCTTTGGGCGTTGTCCATTTGTTTGTGTTTTCTTCGACTTTGACTTATCAGAGCCACTTGAATCGTTTCCTGGTTCCCACTGCAAATCGGATTCAGAGCTGCTGAGGGATTCGTCTTCACTGTAGAACTGTGGAGGCGTCGGTGGTCGCAGAGCGCTGATCTTATAGTCCGGGAGTCTAGTCAAGACCACCACTGCTTTTTTCACATCACCAAGAGAGTCAGAACAGTCCTCCCGTTGTCTCTTCCTGCTCAGAGTTTCATTTGAGGAGGAAGAAGACTTGCCTGTGGAATATAACATATGTCCTGTAAATAAATAAATAAATATGGAGCTCAGCATAAGTTCAAGCAGTTTAGTTTAGTTTAGTTTATTTGTTTATTGTTTCGTGGACAGTCCCCTTTAATTTACTGTACAGTAAAATAAGCAGCTTTAGCCTTTATGGCTAATTTCCAGCTGTAGTCCTCGGCCAGTTGTCAGTAGGCAACCTAAAATGCAATCTTAAGATTTAAAATACAATAAAATACATTACATTTGTAACTACAACAGGCCTAAGCAAAAGGAAAATAGACATACAACATATCACACACAATTGGAGCAGGCACAAACAAAGCACAATCAAAGCACATCAAAGCAGTTCATGCAATAAAGACAATACTGGGGCGACAAGGGAAAAGAATAATCATAGAGGCCACATTGAAAGCACATACAAGACATAACATGGAGGCAGACAGCAGCGGCAGCAGCAATGACTATGTCACATCAAACACACATATCCCATCTGACAGGGATTAATGTGTGCAGTTATAGTTGTCAGACAGCCATGTTTTAATGTGTGTTGTAAAGGTGGAGTATCTATCTTTGATAGTGGTGGGCAGTGAATTCCAGTTTTGTATTGCTCTAACAGAATGACAGAACAGAACTTTAATGACAAGCTGCTAGTTTGACCCCAGCTTGTCATACAGTATGTTAGACGTGACATAATCATGGCATCCATAAACAGTTTGGCAGCATTAAAAGTTAGTGCATTTCTAATATATTTAAAATTGTTAGGCTAAATTTGACCCTATTGAACACTTTTTTTAATGTGCGCTTTAAAAGAGAGATTAGAATCAATAATAACGCCCAGATACTTAAATGGCGGGACAATACTAATGTTTTGACCAGAAATTATTATATTCGAAACAATGTTACATTGTCTTTTAGTGAAAAACATTCCTACTGTTTTATTTACATTAAGTTGAAGGCATGAACTGTTTAGCCAATTGGTTATCTGATTCATGGCTTTGGTGAGTTGGGCAGCAGCCAGATGTTTTGTCTTAGCGTGCACATATACTACGGTGTCATCTGCATACATTTGTGTTTTGATGTCAGGGCAAACCGACGGCAGATCATTAATATATAAACTAAACAAAAGTGGGCCAAGTATCGATCCTTGTGGTACCCCAGTGCATAAATTAAGTGCTGATGAATGTTGGTTGTTCACAGAAACATGTTGACTTCTACCAGTTAAATATGACTCAAACCATTTGAGTGCCAATGCGGAGAGAGAGGTTAAAAGCTGACAGTTTGGCAGGAAGACTGGTTAAACATTCATTCATCTCTTCATTCAACCAAACCACTCCCCTTACTACTTCCTCTTCCTCCCTGCTCTGATGATCAGCTGATTATGGGCATTTTTTCTGTAATTAACCAACCAGATTCTGCTGCTGCCAAATGCTAAAACAGTTCTCTCTCTTCCAGTCATTCTGTCTTTTCAGTGCAACCGCTACAACCCTCCTCCGTCCCAGTCACCTCCATTCTAGCTCAGCAGAGTCCAGATTCAGGCTCAGTAACCCACTCCTCTTCACAGCCTCCATTCCTCTTCACCACCACGGCCGCCACCACCACCAGTGTCTAGACTCCATAGGGGGGTATCCTATCCTGCTGTCTGCCTCATTAACCCTCCGAGTACATGAAGTCATCATGATGGAGTCTAATCCCCCAAAGACTTTGCATATTTATTTCTAAATTGTTAAATAAAAAAATGTTTATTCTCAATTAAGTCTCTCCTGATTGAAATCTGATTAGCTGTGGCATGAAATGAATATAAAAAAAATATACAGCTGAGAAAGAGCTTCAAAAATAATTCCATGAAATACGTGCTGGATTATAACAACTGCAACTAAATATTTACCTTTTAAACACACAGCTTTAAAATTATATTTTGATAGGCCTGTTTGCCAAAAAGAAAACAGCCATGCAGCAGATAGGAAAGCAGTCTGCATCACTGAGGACCCTTCACATCCTCTTGTTTCAGCTGTTCACTTAGGGGTGTACTCACTTTTGTTGCCAGCGGTTCAAACATTAATGGCTGTGTGTCGAGTTATTTTGAGGGGACAGTAAATTTACACTGTTATTTAAGCGTGTCAAAGTGTCATTTCTTCAGTGTTGTCCCATGAAAAGATATAATAAAATATTTTGTGAGATACTGTAAAACCAAGTTATTATTATTATTATTATTATTATTAAACACTGGTGCTTTTCTGTCACTATGTGATAGACTGGCACACGAAAATATGACCACATTTCCCCCATTTTAGCCTCACTCCACTGGTTGCCCATACAATTTAGGATCAATTTTAAAATTATTTTATTTGCTTTTAAATCTCTTAATGGTCTTGCCCCGCCCTACCTCTCTGAGCTTCTACACCCGTACACGCCCACTCGCTCTCTCAGGTCAGCTGATCAGATGCTCCTGAGGGTGCCTAAAACCAAGCAGAAGCTCAGAGGGGACCGTGCGTTTGCGGCTCCAAAATTATGGAACGATTTACCTGAGCATGTTAAACAGGCCTCTTCTCTGCCTGTTTTTAAATCTCGTCTTAAGACCCATCACTAAGACACACACTAAGACATTGACTTATTCATTTATTTTATTTCTTTATTGCGTGCCTATTCATTTTACTTATGTTTCATGTCTTTTAAATTGATTCTGTATTTCACATGTAGTTTTCTTTTCTCTCATGTGAGCTGTTATGTATTTTATTTATTCTTCTGTACAGCACTTTGGTCAACTGTGGTTGTTTTAAAGTGCTTAACAAATAAAATTGGATTGGATTGGACAATACAGTTTTTTGAATCTTAAAAATTAGCCTTTTTCATAGTTTGAATGAATAACTGACATATTCTTACCGTCATCCTTTAATTCACCTTTGACCTCGGAAAGTCTTATCTCCATCTCATCCACCTCCATGACCTCTGCAACACACACATGCCATCCAGAGTTCAGGTTTGAGCTCCAGCAGAAGCCTCAAAACAGAGATAGCAAACTTTAGCCTGTGTATAATAATTATGACATAGCCAGTTAAATAACTGTTCTGGTCCTGTATCTTTAGAAAATATCAAATGACCTGCTTTTGTTTTTCATGACTATAAGAGTGTTCATGTGGCATGTATGAGGTCCACCTGTATACTAACAGGCTACAATACAAACAAACAACACATAGTTTTAGACAATTTATCAAATAGTTGGAAAAATATGGTTATGATTACGTAAGTGTTTGACAATATATTCAGACATTCATTTTCAATCAAAAACAGTGAAAACAAGTGCTGGATGGATATCTTAGTGGTCCTCGGGATTTCTAAAATAGGTTTGTAAAAGTACTATGAATCCACCATATTACCATTTTGTAGATTGAGAAAGTAAAGTAAGCCTACCGTTAACGTAAGTAATTTAAAACTAACCTGTTGTGCACTGGTTATCCGCTTCAAAGTGATGATGTTACAGTCGCACAGATGTTGAAGTAGTTTGACGGTCTCTTTTGTTTGGCAGCTGTTCACTAGCTCCACTAGCCGACTCCTACTGCTAATTAGCTTGCTAATAGAAACAGAACAAGTTTAGGGTCGTCTTGGTTTCGCGTTACGACTAGAAAATATTATGCAAAAGACTTTACAATGTTTAACCCCGCCAAGTATATTGTTATTAAGCAGAATTAGCATCAACCACGTCCACCATTTTGATATTGGGTTCTTCTTCGTTGATGTATTGTGTTTTACTTAACCAGCAGAACAGACAGTTGTCGCCACCTACCGTACCGGAGTGGAAACATCACGACTTTTCAAAGTGGTGTCTGTTTCTCTCTATATTGGAGCCTACATTAACCTTATTTCGGTTATTACATCAATAACATTTCAATACGCCTCCCTTGTTTCTAGTAGAACTTCAACTATTCCCTAATTTCCAATGTTTACCACCATGTGCCTCAGTCTCTCTTTTCTACATTGCACTTCCTAAGGGTGATGAGTCAGCAAACAAGTTCTTTGCAAAGAGTCAGTTAAGTCCAGCCCTGGTGATGTTTTTGCTACCCCTTTTTCCATTAGATTTTTAGTAAGCCCATACTTTGAGCAATCACAAGTTGAGAATGAAGACTTTCAACTCAGGGGCATTTGGTCTTAGGGGCCCAAAAATCATCTTTAACGAATGCTTGGGTAAAGGTAATGTAATTCACAAATCAAGTTGTAAAAATCGATTGCTGCATCTATAGTCGTACAAGTATAAAATGTGGCCCAGAGCATCCTGAAACATAAGGGAAAATAGCACAATCAGGTTCAGGAACTTGTATTTTAAGCTATCGTTCTCAAAAAACTCAGACAAAAAATCTCCTCTGTAATAAATCTCCCTCATCATTTTCTTCTTTAGATTGCAGTAAAAGCAGAACACATAAGCACGGACATGCTACCCCACCTGGGAGGCTGGGGACTGAGAATTCACTTCTCTCTGATTTGAAGTGTATGAAGTAAGGCCATAGAAAGTCTAATAGTCAAGTTTCAAAGGTCATCTTCAGCTCAAGTTGCAGAATATAAATTTATGAAGTTTTATTAATAGACATGAGACAGTGACAATGGACATAAATTGCTTAAAAATAATAATTGTTCATAATATTTTATGAGGGTTATACCTGGTTCCTAGACTACTAATCTCTACCAAGACAAAACATCTTCTTTCCTACCTTTTCAACAAGTTCTTTTTTCCCTTCTTCATGTAATTGTCCCCTTTGTTATTTTTTGTATCTTTGCTTTAATACAGTGTATAACTTCTGTACAGTTTATTTTAATTTACTTAGCTGTTACTACAACTCCTTTTTTAGTACTTTTCTTCTCTTTTTTTTCTTATAATGCTATTCTATTTTAGATATAATTTTAACTTTTTTTTGTAGAAGCTGACTCAGGGAGAAATTCCAGTGTACCTGTACTGTCCTGTACCTGTGCAGATGGCAATAAACATCTACTCTATTCTAATTGAAAAGAACAATTGAAGCATATAAAGGCTGACTCAACAAGTTGTTAAACAATATATTCCCTATTAATGTGTTATATTATTAGCTGTAAGCTGTTTATTGACCCCTACATTAAAAAAAAAAAAAAAAAAAAACATATGGGCTACAACATCTCCAATAAAAAACATTTAAAAAAGCAATGTCATTTATAAAGTTTGTTTCCGATCTTGATTGTAAAATTAAAAATTCAAACTGTATCAACTTTCGTTGAGTTGAGTCTCAGTTCTGTTCTGTACTCGGTCTGAGCACTGAAGTCCCAATATTTCCTCTCACAAAGAGGATCTTTAAGATCTCTCATCACTTTGCAGTATCATGTCCCATCACAACCTAACGCACATTACAATAAAAGTGTAATGACGACATGTTGTTTCCATTTGGGACTGCATGGTGTCAAATATGTCTTTCTAAAGTGATGAGAGTACGTCCTCTTTGTCAGGTGATCTGCTCCTCCTGGTAGGTGGAGGTGGAGATGGAGCCATAAGGATCCATCACAGTCTGAGCGCAGCGCACCACAGTCACCAGCAGGAAGAAGCACAGGAGGACGAGGAAGAAGAGAGCGAAACCCAGATCCACATCCACCTCAAACGGCAACGCAGGGTGAGGAGCCTGGTCCATGTGGGCGAGGAAGACTGTTGATCCTTCTTGAACTGTATCTTCTCTTTGGCTTTTCAGCACCACGTCCTCAGAGTTAGGACAGGCAGGTGCTCTCGCTCTTTTAGGATGGTGGTGACTTGATGCCAGAAGACGAAATGAAAGTTCAGACAAAGATAAAATAAGTTAAAGCATGCTTCTAAGTGCACATAACTCTTATTACTTTAAATTTGAGCATCCTGTTTGCCAGCAAATTATTGAATCAAACGTATGAAATGGTTCATGTCATTAACTTTAGTTGCACCAAAAAAAAAGTAAACTCAAAAACCCTCCAAAACAAGTAGTAGTCATCATGAAAGGTGTCTCTACCTGTCTGATAAGACCTTCTCTGTCCACCTAGGGGACTATTCATCAGAGACAGCCCCACTTACGTGTGGTGTCCCACAAGGGTCCGTGTTAGGCCCAATCCTGTTCTCATTATATATGTTACCACTGGGATCAATTTTTGCAAAATACAATATATCTTTTCACTTTTTTGCAGACGATGTACAGGTCTACATGCCTTTGAAATGCAAGGGTTCACCACAACCTTTACTCGACTGCCTTAAAGACATTGAAACCTGGATGACCCTAAACTTCCTCAAACATTGAGTTTAGAGAACCTGGTGCTGTAGAAACGTTTGGTCCTCTTGCTGTTAATTTGAAAAAATCTGTAAAGAGTCTTGGTGTGCACTTTGATCATGTTTTTAAATTTGGCAAACAAATATCCACTGTTGTGAGATCTAGTTTTTACCAGCTCAGACTTATAGCCAAAATAAAATCATACCTCCCTGCCAATGATCTAGAAACAGTAATAAATGCATTCATAACATCTCGCCAGGACTACTGCAACTCACTATATGTGGGCTTGGACCAGTCATCCATCCAACGCCTGCAGCTTGTCCAAAATGCGGCTGCTCGCCTCCTAACAGGCACAAAAAAGAGGGACCAAATAACCCCTGTGCTCCATTCTCTCCACTGGCTTCCTGTTCACTACAGGATTGATTTTAAAATTTTACTTCTGGCTTTTAAATCATTAAATGGCTCAACACCTCATTACCTAAGTGAACTACTACATGTTCATGCTCCATCCAGAGCACTAAGGTCCTCCAACCAACTGCTCCTGGACGTACCCAAAACAAGGCTCAAAACTAGGGGCGATCAAGCCTTTTCTGTTGCAGCTCCGACACTTTGGAACAGATTACCATTTAATATAAGATCTGCTGCCACAATTGAGCAGTTTAAGTCATTTTTAAAAACCCACTTCTTTTCCTTGGCTTTTACCTCTAGTTGAGTGTTTTATCCCAGCAGCAGTGTCTATTAGAACTTTTACTATTGTTTTGTGTTTTAATTCACTTTTAATTTTTGCTTTTACGTGTTTTTATGATGTTTTGGATGTAATTTATTTTGCCTGATTTACTGTACAGCACTTTGGTCTGCCTCGGCTGTTATAAATGTGCTATATAAATAAAGTTGACTTGACTTGACTTGACTTGTAGCAACGCATTCAATCTCTTCTTAAACCTCAAATTCTTCTTAGAATCTTACAAGCTAAAGCTAATGAAGCCTTTAGCCACTAGTCTGAAGCCAGATGAAGAAATGCGAGTCTACCTCCATAACTCAAGATATTTCCCTCTTTTCAATTTTGTAGTCAGCCCTGACTCAGGTGACATCACTTAAGGCAATTTATGAACTTAAAGCAGCTCCTTCTGAAACCACAAATGGTTCTGCATTTTCTAAACACATGACTTTGACTTTTAAAACATTTGAGTTCTCCTTTATTGGTTCCCATTTTAAGGTCTAAATCAATTTGACACGTCGACTAAAGAGCCACCCTGTTACAGTGAAAATGTTGTTCAACTTTTCAGCACATAGATGAATGATTGCATCACTGATTAATCTTCAGGCTTTATTAATAACTCAATTTAAGCTCATTTCATCTGTTATATAAGAATTTCAACATACTGGGGAGCCAAGGTACTGTATGAAATGACTTCTGTTGAAGCAACACTTTAAAAACTGAGTCATTTTGAACACAACAAGAAAACAAGGCTAATGGTCAAACATTTTTTAGAAGCTCTTCTGATAGAGTTTAGTAAGAGTAAGAGTTTCTGACTTTTTTCACTGCACATGCAGGATCCTGTGGACATGCACTAATGGAGAGATGTCAGAGTGAGGCCATGTCCCCCGACAGCGCCCCTAAGCAGTCGGGGGTTCAGTGCCTTGCTCAAGGGCACATGGACAGTGCTCAGGAAGTGAACTGGCACCTCTCCAGCTACCAGACCAATTTCCAGATATGGTTCACAACGTGACTTGAACTGGCAACCTCCGGTTCCCAACCCAAGTCACCAGTTCAAGGGCTGAATGATTTGTCTTATTAAAATATTATAAACATCACTCTTCAATTTTAAATATGTTATTTTGGATTCATCAACTAATCCTGCTCAGCTCTACTGTATTTATTTGTTCATATTGGACAAGTTAAACACGTTTTTCCCCCACTAATGCTTTTAAAGACATCCTAAATATTTAAGTCTTAATCGCTGTCAGAGTGAATTCTAACGATTACACAGAATTTCAAGAAAAACAAACTTTTCAAAAGAACGAAGGAACTACTTCAAATGAGCTCTAAAGATATCATTTCAACTCACCATTGTGCGCTGTAAACAGTGATCCAGCTGTTTGTTTCGGTAGACTCTGTCCGACTCCCATCCAAACCTTAGAGGGGCTGTCATGGCATCGTGGGCTCTGTTCCCTCTGAGCTTCCTCTGAGTTACATAAGACAGTCATCAGTTACCAAAGTCTGAAACTGTCCCCTCTCTTCACATGATCATCACAGGAAAAATGAGCAGCCCACAAATTAACTCTTGCACACACACACACACACACACACATAGATGCACATGCTAGAAACACATGCGCACACTTGCACCTTGCAACCTCCCCCTGGCGTGTAAAGCCTTTATTAATACTTAAGCAGGAATTGAATATCGGTCTACACAGTTCACATGTGAATCAAACACCCCACAGCTTTTGTTGTCCTGTCTTTCGCCGCTGTCAACAGTTCGTCTTCACACCACAATTAAC